AATTATTGCATTTTTGGTGCAACATAATATTTAAGACGAAGCCAAGCATAGTTCACTAGGTGTCATCATTTGGTTTCAGATTACTGGACGTTGGTCTCAATAGCAGTGGAAGCAGGGAAGCAGTCAAGGAAAGTAGTGATAAGGAAAATAAAGTCTTTGTCATATTAAATGAACAAGAAAACGAAAAAAAGCGCCCCAAGGAGTTAAATCATTCGATAGGAGGGTGAGAACTTAGGAGGAATAAATGGAAGGAAGGAAAAATTGTGGTTCCCTCAGAAAACGCCCCATATCTTTCCTTGCAAAAAGTGGAGGGAAAGGGGGAGGAACCATCATTTTTCGCAATTTTGAAATCCAAGAAAAACCCTTCTCAGATTTTCCCATTCTTGTACAAAATGGAACTACAGACCGTAAGGACTTTGGCTTGACCAAGGATTTTAAGCTAGGATAACTATACAATTCCTATCATTTCTAACGATCCTTTGATTGATTCTATTTCCTCAATTGGCCCATTAAGTAAGTGTACAATGGTGATACAAACAATGTTGTTCCATACAAAATAACAAATATATTAATTATACCACGAGAAAGCAATAACTATGGACAGAATCTTCGAAACAAAATCCTAGATTTCACTGGAAGGAAATTTGAGTTGTTCTTACTAATACCACTTGTTCACAACAAAGCAAAAATGTAGCACCATTGATATGAAAAGATACCATTTATGGAACTTTGAAAGGAAGATTTAAACAAATTTGTTACTAAGAAGGTATTCATTCTTATACGTTGGGTACTACTTTGCCAAAACTCAAAAGTTGTGCTAAGTTCTTACATCTATTGTGTTAACATGTGCAGTCCTTGTGACCACCAAGGATGTTAAAAAGACATTGAATTAAAACCCCCAACCGCAAATTAATGATGATCAACCGGCCTTTTTGAATTTTTTTGCATCTATTATGACACTGACTGATCAGCAGAAGATCTGCATCAAATCAATGAAATAGACAAGTTTCTTTAATTTAATCCCACCGACATTCTCTGCCCTCTTAAACATCTAGAAGAAAATGCAAAACTAAGGGAAAAAATCATTTTTGCACCTCTCAATTCTACAGGCTGACGGGAATGGGCAACAAGAACATTAACAGACAGGAAAAACTAACATTTCAATGGTGTACTACTTAATTCTTCTAACAAATGGGAAAATGGAAGACAGATGGTAAAAAATAAAAAACCAAGAAAAAAATTTTCAAAAAGAAAAAACATTGATTTCCTTTGGATCCGAGAAACATCAAGACCAATAAATACATAAATAACAAATAAGAATGAAACAGTGAACCAATGACTTGCACACTAATTTTGACTAAAACCCATCAACCAAGATCGATCTTTCTACAATCAAAAACACTACAACTTCTACACGCATCCCATTCATAAGTGTATATACTTCAAATTCATCCTAATTTGCCTTTTTTTTTTTTCATTTCTCTTTTCTCTTCATGTATGAACCTATTTCAATCCTGATGATTTAACTTCAGAAGCAACAATTAACTCAATATTTTGCTAAAAAACATAAAAGAAAAACAAATACCATGACAGAGATCTGAAATAAGAATGGAATTGATATATACCATGAGAAGAAAATTCATGGTGGAGGGATCTAGGGGATAACGATGGGAATTCCTGATAACTCTGCTTCTGACGCGGTCTGGGTCGCCATCTCCGATTCCACTGACCCATTTTTCAAGAAAGATGTGAGAATCGAATTGGGGCGAGGAAGAAGAAATGGGTTGAGTCTTTTATGGGGTGTTTAAATAGGTAAGAGCACTGGGTGTGTTGTGTTACCTTCTCTGTCCGGACTTACGTAGATTGTTCCGAACACACTTCTGGATAAAAGCCCTCTCGAAACGTTTCAGTGGTTTTCTTTTTCTTTTTTTTCGGAAGAGTTAAACTCTAAAATATCAGTTGAATCTCAATTCGTACCGTTAAAAATAAAAAGTGTCAATTTGTACTATCAAATATAAATTTATATCGAAACCCCCTCAAATTTGTTATTTGATCATTTAAACCCCTCATACTTAGAATATTACTCCTACACTTCCTAACGTTTATGCACGTATAAAACATAACCCCTTGTCATTATATCTATTAGTATAACCGTTAAAAAATATGATTTCATCCTAATAAAAATGACTATTTTCATACTATCATTTATTTTGTGAGTCTGTTATACTATAAAGTTCAAAATTAAGTTTATCATTTGAATATAATATAAGTATTTATATATTATTTTTCATATCCAATGCAATACATCACTTGAACATAATTATTTAGATGATCAACTGGGAGAATATTTTTAGTCATATTTAGATTTTCAAGGGATGTAGGTGTAATATTTTAAATATAAGGGATCTAGGTGATTAAGTGACAACCATAAGAGGGTCTAGGTGTAATTTATCTATTTAATTTTAGATTGCATGTTAGTTTTAAGTGCGAATTGATACAAATTTCTAAATTTCTATTTTGAAAGTATAAATTGAGATTTTTTATCTTTGACGGTTCAAATTAAAATTAGAATAATCTTTCATGATGTAATTTGTGATTAACCCTTTCTAAAATAAGGTGTCTTTGGTGAGTAAATATTAGATTTAACGATTGTACTATATGTCACGTGTTGTAATTATTCAATAATAATTAAAATAGAAACCTAGGATTTAACGAGTAAAATGGATCAAATTGGATTAGTCTACAGCTGATCAAATGATAAAAATAGATAGAAAGACTTAATTCACATAAAATGAATAATTAATGAACTAAATTAAAATAATTAAAAGTTCATAGAATAAATTAAAATTTGAAATCATAGTTTAGGAATTAATTATGATATTTACCCTAAATCTTTGGATAAATATCATAGTTACTGAATGTTGTATTTGTTGTTTTATTGGTAATGTTTAAATAATAGGGTCGACTATGTCCCTATAATATTTTATTAATTAATTATTGATAACACGTGACAATAAATATATGATATTACCGACAAACATGTTTTCTCCACCAATAAGGAATATCTTTGCTACAATAGACACTATAAGTGACAAAAATTAATATAAAAAAGTAAAATTTCGTACACAATTCCAATAAGTTTCTCTAGTCCTGTTATTATATTATTTTTTTCATTTTTTTTTTTCGTTTGGTTTTTTCACCTGACTTGAATAATTGATTTTCTCTTCTATTTTCCAATGCATAATCCATTTTGCATGCAAAAATAATAAAGTTTTTAGGTTGCATCCGACGCACATACTTTCATATATTACAGGATTGAGAGAGATAATTGATAAAAAAACTTATAACTGTTTTTCAACGGATTGATTGTTGAACTTAACCCCTATAACCTATTCTAACAATAAAATATCTCGAAAAATTCAGTCTTCATAGAATATTTTAAGTTGACTTTACGATCTTTAATAATAATGGTAAACCCAACAAAATTAACTAACTCACTTAAATTCTTAGGTTGTATCGGATGCACATGCTTCTACGTATTATAGGGATTGAATAAGATAAATGATAGACAAAATTATCACAGTTTATTAACGGATTGATTGTCAAACTCGACCTCACCTAATTTCGACTACAAAATATCTTGAAATATTTCAGTCAATATTTCAGTCTTCATATTGGCACTTGGTTTGCTGTTGACTAAATAAATCAACTGTTAGCAAAATTTCAAAATCATTGAAAACAATAATTCAACAAAGTGGTTCAAATGCGTCTATCAATCATTCAAATCCATCTAAAAATGTAAAACAAAATCAAATTATGGTAATAGGATTTTCGAAAACGATTCAAATCCAATTATTTTTCGGTAATTTCCTACCCAATTATTGAATTCTCAATTTTATTTATTTATTAAATGTTAGAACATAGTGATAATGTAAATCTCATATAATGTCTACCATAGTTATAATTAATGTTTTGATGAAAATTGCAAAATAATAAATGTAAAAATAGTTTAGTGGGCACCTACGCCATAATATTAGGAACACTCGAGGGTAATTATATGACTAAGAAGCCTCTCAACGCGTTACCAATTGACTCTAATTTGATGCTCAATATGGTACAAAAACTAAGCCTTAGTTGGTCATTAAAGCAAATCCAATCACATCTAACTATTTATCTATATATATATATATATATAAATCAATTATTTTTTGAACAAGAGGGCTTAAGAAGCCTCCACTCTCACTTTTCTTAATTTTTAGGATTTTTATTTAATTAATTACAAAATTAGGTATTCTTCAATCAATAATCGACACTTGACCAATATAATCACATTTTCACTATCTTACCAATTAACCACATTTCTTTCAATTTTTTTTAAAGAATCAAATTTCAATCCCTAATAAACTTTAATAATTGTTGAATTACCCATATTATGCAATGGAAAAAAGGAATGATAAGAAAGAACAAGCCTGAGCAAGATGAATTATAAATATCATGCGTCCCACGAAACGCCCGCTAGTAAAATGTACAAAAAAAGAAGAGAAATAGACACCATTTGACTTTATGCTGGTTCGAACCTAATCTCATTCAGATGTTAATAAGCCAATAAAAAATGAAGACAGACATGGCCACATCAGAGTTCAAAATAGAGACAATAATGGTTGATCTTTTCCAAAACTAAATATCATAAAGTATTGCAATATTAAAAAAGCTCTTACACTTCACTATACACAGGCAAACAAAGAGCATTCTTTGTTATAGATGGTTACCTGAAAAAAATACCCTTCACCTTTGTAACCAGCTGAATTCCTACCCGCCACGCTCTACAATGCAAGCTGGGATAAAATAATATACATTTGATCATCCCCCGATGTTGCATTAGTATTGGGATACTCTTTTCAATTATATAAACGTTTGTGTATCTTCTCAACTATCTGCCAATCTACTTCATGTGTTGCCAGTGCATAGTCAATTATACAGAGAAACTATTGAGCTTCGGAATATAGTCAAAGATCATAGCATAATGTATATCCAATGCACAATAAATCCAAAATAACAAATTCTAGAAAGAAAAAAAAAAAAAGACAACAGAGAAGTTTCAGTAAATTTCTATGAAAACTTTGAGCCTATACCCCATCACAAGGAAACCAAATACTTCCCATGGTTTATATCTACAAAAACTTTGCATACCAGAACTGAGAACACCGTATCCAAGTATGTATGACTATATGTGATCTCAACATTATACCACCAAACGAAGCAAGCAACAATCTACTCCAAATCTGAGGAAGAGGGCTCTTCATCATCATCAGCTCCACTGCTGTCATTGACTGAAGATCCCTCACTGTCAAAGTAATCCATAAAAGGGTTCTCAAAACTCACTAGTTTTCCACACCTGTCTTCAAGATCTCCGTCCAAATCCACACCCCGACATCCTTGTATATCAAGATGGGTAAGTGCCTTACAATTGGATAGGATAGCATCGAGACCATGGTCACTGAGGCGGCTAAAACCAAGTTTGAGAGAGTGGAGCCCTGTCATTGTCTCAGATATTACCATTGCCTCACTATCATCAGTTGTTGGAGCAAAAATTTCTGCGGGGTACCCCCACGAGGGTGGCGGCATATTCCTTTTCAAGTGAATCAGGGACTTGCATTGCTTTCCGAATGCTTCAAGCCCTTTGAATGTGACTTCCAAGCAATAGCTAATGTCCAGGACAGTCAAGTTAGCAAGTAATGCAGCATGCTTCTCTATCATCTGGTCAGTGATCTCACTCATTGGAATTTCCAGGACCTTGAGGCATTGTCCACTACAAATAAAATGCAGAAGAACATAAACAGGTCACGATTACAATATTATGCTACCATCCAGTTCCTGAAAATGATCACCCCCATTTACAAATGCCTGGAGAAATTATCACACAAAAAAAACCTGAAGAAAGCAATACTTTCGGCATTTGGAGAAAGAGGGAAGACCAAAAAAAGGAAGACATTTGACATTTGACTTTTCAATTTCAGGCTCTTTTTGAAATTTACTTCTGTGAAACCGGGTAAAACAATGGCTAATTTGTTTGAACAACAATTAGGATGAAATCAGCTTGGGTTTCAGTCTTTCTTATTTCTTATTGATTCCAGTCAAAAAGGATCAATTTAATCCAATAGAAAGCTCATATATTTCCTTTTATAGTTCTTGTATAACTGGTCCAAAACGATTCGTTGTTGTCACATGATCACATGTGAAACAAAGTAACTATATAATAAAACAATTGCATGAATAAAAACCCATATATATGAGAACATCTTGGTATACCCTCATCTTGCTCGGCTTCTCACAATTTTAAAAGTAAAGATCACTGGTTGAGCTAAACAATTACTGTTCAATGAGGTGGCCAAGCCATATCCAACTTGGTTGAGTCGTTGCACTTCTGGCTTCTTCGACTTTGTTTATTCTCATCAAAAAGAACAATGGAGGAAATACACTATATCAACAAGTTCCTATACTGAATCACTCCCATGTCCTCTTCTACTTTGGGTAGAACAGTTAAAACTCACTAGAACAGGTAGCTGAACCTATTAGGTGAGATAAGGTTTTATTGAGTTGAATTTAACATTCCCTAGAATAACAAACTGCGGAATAAATGTACGGGTATCTTGTCTGCAATGCCTGTCAGTAAATTTCAAGAATAATCACTGTGAAACTACGCCATTAATTCAGCTTTCATAGAGCGAATAAAAATAATCAGAGAAGTTATAATTTCTACGATTCAACAAGCCCTCGGACTGCTTAGACCATAAACCACTCAACTGATGATCGTCAACTTCTTAATATATTCTACCATGTCAAAACAAATAAATGCTTTTGTGTTCTACCTTATTCTCTTACAAGCAAAAGTCCTAACGACATAAATAAAAAAGTTCAAGAAACAAATAATTAATCAGAGATATCAGGAAAGCTAGGTTAGATGTTTTTCTTCTTCATTTTCTCACATTTNTAGGTTTGATGCTCAGACTGGAGCGGATAGAGAAGTTCAGCGAATCCTTATGGAACTCTTAAATCAGGTATTGCTTTAAGATGTATATAAAAGTAGGATTTTGTTAGAGAACTCAAAGAATCAGTTTTTTCTGGACTTTGTTGTGATAAATTATGGGTGCCTGAAGTTTGCTTGCACCTGACTGCCATGATTTCTGACTCATTTCGTGGACCTCTATACTTATGAATTTAAGTTTCCTTCTGCAGATGGATGGGTTTGACCAGACTGTGAATGTAAAGGTTATCATGGCAACTAATCGAGCTGACACTTTGGACCCTGCGCTTCTGCGGCCTGGAAGGCTTGACCGAAAAATTGAGTTTCCTTTACCCGACAGACGACAAAAGAGGCTTGTTTTTCAGGTGAGGCTTGAGAGAACTTCGATAATTATATCATATCTGCCTTATTTATCAGGGGCCCAGTACTTGATGTTTTTCCTAATTGAAATTCTATATTCATAACCCAACCCCCCCCCCCCCCCCCCTCCTCTTCCCCAACCAAAACAAAAAAAAAAAAAAAAGGAAAACTAATAAGGGAGTTCTTGGAAGTGGAAAAGAAAACTCAACTGGTCAAGCAGAAATTTCCTTAATCAATTAAAGAAAGACCAAACTTGGTTTTAGAGCTTGCAGAATTAAATCCAAGAGGGCTCCCAAAGAGATGGCAACTAATGCAGCAATACATCTGTTCATAAATTGAGTAAATTGACTTGTGAACAGATTGGCATTGCTCCAATCACCAAGTTCCTGTAAACAAAATTAAGTTGTCTGTGCATTTCATTGTCACTATGCATTATAACAGAGTGCATGTGGCGAGGTATAAAATTCTTAGACCACTTGAAATAAACAAGAACTTAGAATCAAATCCAAACAGCATTGCTCCTTATAGCATTTTTTTCCATCCGAATGAATAAGTATAAATAAGTTGGCTCAATGGAGCCGATATTGAAGTAACAAACAACCTTTTCTTTTCCTTCCATTTCTGGGCCGAACAGAGCATTGATATTTCACATTTTAGTCAAAACAACAAAAGGGTAAGGCTATATATTTCATTTTTTTTTACCATGTATCATATAACAGAAAAGACATAAGATTTGATAAGGGATCCAAATCTTTGACTTACACAGCTAACAAAAACATTCAATCTCAATACCATCCGATGCTTGCTACTTACCAAAGTCAATAAACATGTGCACCCCCAAACACAGGATTTTATCCCCCCGGACTTGTGGATTGGAGAGCTATTTATCAAAGCTAAAGCTCTTCTAGGTGACACAAACTTAACAATTTCAGGTGAGCTAGAAAAGAAACTGCTATTATAGAAATTGTGTCCATGGAAAATTCATCAAGTGATATTATCTACATCTTAAGAGCAAAAAAAGACATTCATATGCCTCCATCTAACGTACCAATAATCCACTACAGCCCACCTAATCCCTTTCTAAGTATAACACAAGCCCAAGATATATTTTCTCAATATTCTGTATAATAAAATAACTATGTGTTTGAAATTTTATCTCATACATATTTCTCCCCCAAAAAAACCATCCCATCACGCATTTCTATCACATGTTTAATCATTTAATATTTGATTAATTTGTAATTTAACATAATTTTTATTTCAGACATTAGTCATACACGATAGTATACACATGTTAAGAAAATTTATCGGATTACGTATTTTTGTCAATATTTTTAAAAAAATATTAGGTAAAAATAAATTTTAAATGATGTAATCAAATAAATGAAAGAAAAAAAGAAAAATTATTATTTAATATAGCAGGATCGTTTTTTTGGACACTCAAATTTAATGTTTTATCTTACTTTCAGGCACGGGTTACGACTAGTTATCTAATATGCATGTACTTTGTCGATAGATTCACACACATATATTATATACATATACATAGAAACACACAAACACATATACTGAGTCATGATTAAACAAAACAACAATCGCAAAATAACTATTAAGAATATAAAACTACTAAGATTAAATTCCTTTCAAAGGCTAACCATCATAAGATTTTAGCAGCCAATGTGCAAAGTTCAAAAAAGTTGGGGTGCATATATTAAAATCCAATTAAGTTTCTTATATTTAATTCTTTATACAGTGGGGTTCTACCAAAACCCCCGAGGTCTGTATGTAGTTCCGACCCTCTGCACACACGTAGAAGATGGTAAAAGGGAATTTTTCTATATCATAAACTCAACTCAACGAAACTTTTATCCAACTATTTGGGTTAGCTACATTAACCATATTTCTTCTACAAGATCTAATATGCCCAAACTAAGTGGAAATACGTCTAAGACTCCAAATATATAAACAATGAAACCATAGAATAAAAGTAAGAAAAAACCCAACAAAAAAGCAGTAAAAAAACACATACACACACACACACAGAGTCACAGACAGAGCACAGAGGATAGAGAAAGGTTATTCATAGCAAAAGTCACAAAAAACACCAAAAATCCAGCAGACCCAACTCAACACAGTCCACTCTTCTATAAGACACGTCTCCGATTAGTGTTTCCATTACGTGAAAATCCTTACAATGGCCATTAATGTTATATAAAACTATGCTAATCAACCACATTTTCAGGATACCCACATCGTTCAAACCACTTTGACATCAAAACTCACAAAAAATAAAAGAACAAACTACTTTTTCTCTCTATATTTTACCCCAGGAAAGCAGATCATATAAACCCTTATAAATTTACTAAAATGAAAACAAAACCGAAGTAACACACCCATAAATATCCATCTGCATAAGAAAATGTATGTATATATAAGCGTATATGTATAAATACATACATCTATTTATATATGAGTGTGAAAATGTGTGTACTGTGTGTGGTTGTACCACCACCTTTTCATCCATTCTGCTTTCCATACAAATAAGGACACCACACACACACACATGACAGGTTTATACCAGTTGGCAGCGAAGGAGAAGCCGGCATTGCCGAGCCCGTAAGCCGAGAGTCTCCTAAAAGTGCACTTGCTGCGACGGACCAGTTTCCGTACTGCGGAGTCTATCAGGTCGGAGCGGTCACAGCGGCGACACCACCTCTCGACATCGATCTCCGCCCAGCAGTACGGCCCTGCTACCACCTCCAGCCACGACTTGCATACCAGAGACACCACCCCCACTATCTGGTCAGCCGGTATTCGTACGAATATCAGAGCTAGTATCTCTGGGTTCAACCCCTCCCACCTTCCAACGACGTCGTCTTTGTCATCTCCAAAACACACCCTCTTGCTCTCATTGCTCATCTCTCTCTCTCTCTCTCTCTCTCTCTCTCTCTCTCTGGTTTTTCTCTTTCCGGACGTTTTGAGCTTTTCGGCTTCCATTCGTAAGGTGATTTTGCTTGCTTTTTAGTGGAGTGAAAGATGGGTTGGATAGTTGACACGTGTCTATACTTGCTTTAAGAGAAGTTCATCTTACGGCTGAGAGTAAGTACTCAGTAGTCAGCCAGTCTCTCATGATTCTTATATTTTCCTAAAAGTGTTTTTTTTAAAAAATTGTTATCCAAATCTAATTTACTAATCTGATCCAATTTATTATAACTTTTAAATTGGCCGTGAGTTTTATCAAATATTAAAATTTGGTATTAATCTAATGATTTTTATGAAGTCATATCATTAAGTTTATAAATTATGTCAAATTTTTAAATCTAAATAATATTTTTTTTTTCAGAAAAACATAAAACTTCATTGATAGATAAAAAAAAAAGAGCAATACTATATGAACTTAAATAATAGATTTAAAAATTAGATTTGATAATCTCGACCATTGAATAGGTAGTGAGTCTCAATAAATGTTAGGACCCACAGTGAAATCAATAGTTGAGATTATCAAGTCTATTTTTTAAGTTCATATAACATTGCTAAAAAAAAAAGTAAGAGAAAAAAATAAAACTACATTAATCTTTTGCTAAAATGATTAATGTTTGATATTAAATTCAAAAATGGAGTCCCAAAAAAATTGGCCAGTTGGATTCCTACAACTCAAGTAAACCATATTTGTAATTTTTCCTATATTTTTGTTTTTAATATAATTAGTACATTTGTTAAGACGTATTTTTAAAATACTTGCTTATATCTCCATAAATTTGAACAATATAATTTATATACTAAATTATAGTGGTTTTTGAATGTATATTCTCTATAAAATAAAATAATGTTTATAATTAACTTAAAATTAATCATAGAATTGAAAAATATTCTCGAATTTAGACTTTTTCATCGAATTTAGACCGTTCCTGAAATGTGTAGGAACGGTGGTCACATTTTATAATTGATCCTAAATATTAGGATGGTCCCAAAATATGAGGATAAATCCTAAAAAACTTCATTTTATTATAATCTCATCAGATTAAATTGTAATAACTTCAGCAGGGTACCATGGTCTTACCTAATCTCTTAAGTCTAACCAACAGTATTGGTTGAATGACTTGAAAGAGAACTGACCCACTTGCACAGAATGATAAAGACTGCTGTTACTAACCATCCTTTGGGAAATAATTTGTATGGTTTCAGTTGGCTTCAAATGAATACTAGTTGATTTTTTGTTGTACGTTTGATCAAGAAGTTTATGAGGAAATTCCCTTTGAATAGTCTGAAGCAAAATAAAAGAATACTGACTTTTTCAGGGAAAATAGAAGCAAATGACTCAAAAATCAAATTTGCCAACTTGCAAGTAAATTGTTTGTATTTGTTGGAGTATAGATAGTCTAGGTTTATTAGGATTTCTTTTCCCTTTTTTACCCTTACTATGATTTTTATATTTTGCCTATATATACGGAGTTTTACTCTTAATTTGAGTATCTCCTTTTACTCACAATTATTTCAAGTTGGTATCAGAGCCATACACTAACCCTACCCCAAACCCTAACCTTCTCCCCAACCTTAGCCTCCACCGAGACTGCCTCACCGGCAAACTGCCTTTAAGCAAAACCAGCCACCGCCAAAACCACCCTGGCCATCAGCTGCCCAGCGAAACCGACCAAACCAGCGACAAAACCAGTCCACCTACTGCCCATACCAGGCCACACCGACAGCCCCAAAGTCCATACACCGACGGCCCAGGCAACAAACAGTCTTCCGCCGACAGCCGCATCCCAGACAAACCAGTCCATACCAGTCCACCACAACCTGCAACAAACAACCTCAATCCCACGATCATCGCACGATCACGAACACAAGAGTAAACCAGTAGAAACAGCCTCATAGAATGGTGAGATCTTCAGATCTTGAGTGCAGATCCGAAAAGGAAAGCAACAACAGCGACAGCGCATCCGGTGACGAAAGACGGAGAGATTTCTCCGGCGGAAGAAGCAGGAGCAGGCGCCGGAGCCTCAGCGGCAAGAGAACCGCTGATGAGAGTGAAAATCGTAGTGACTACTGCAAGCAGAGCAATCTTGGAAGCTGCAACCAGTTTAACCAGTCCATAATACCCACACAAATCCCACCTGCACTGACAAATCCCAGCGACAGCAAATACCAACCACCGACAGCAAACAAACAACCAGCCAATAACCATATGCTAAACAGCCCACTGTCCAACCGACTGGCCATATATATATCTTGTCCCGCGCCCTTTACCCATTCTCCATATAATAATAATAATAGATCCAACCCAATAAACCCAATAAAATCACTCCTACTGCTAGATCATTGTCCAGCCCACTGCTGGGTCACAACTTTCGTTGTGATTTTATTCTAGGACTTTTTTGGGAGGGAGCGGATCCTCTTTTCTGTTGATCTGCCCTTGATGCAGTAGATCACTTATTTATATATTTTGGATTTCTGGGCACCGTGACTTGATTATTTGGGAGCTTTTTGGACCTTCCCTATTTGTCGCTACTGTTCGACTGAAGGTATATTGTTCTCCCTTATTTTATTCCTCTATTTATCTTAGAGTTATTT